ATATTGCAATAAAACAATAACCCTCCCCCCCCAAAAAAAAAAATAATAGCAGCACATTCTGAAACATATTTTGAATGTGGGGACTTTTTGCTGTCTTAGTTCTTAAAAAGAAAAAGGGGGAAAAGCTATGGTCTTATGTCGGGAGGTGGGGTAGCCTGATTGATGGTTGGTTTTGCTCAGCATAGGCAAATTTGGCCCTTCCAGATGTTTGGGACTACAACTCCCATCATCCCTAGCTAAACAGGACCAGTGGTCAGGACGATGGGAATTTTAGTCCCAAAACATCTGGAGGGCTGAGTTTGCCTACGCCTGATTTTGCTATTGCTTCGATGCATTTATTGTACTTTTACTGAATGCTTCATTTCGTATTAGGAAGCATTTTCATTTGTTAATGGCTTTGTTATTGACATGAGGTGCTTTGAGTTCAACTTGATTGCGGGAAGCTGCATATAAATATTAAATCAACTCAGATGTGTCACAGTTGCCAAGCTATCCTTGTCTAGTATGACTGCAGCTAGGTACACGCACTGCCAGCCACTGAGGCCACCTGGGCTTCATGTGTCAATGCAGGAAATTAAAAAGTACCCTCATATTTAAACACTTGATCCTCCAAAGGAGAGTGTTGCCCCATCTAGAACAGAATGTCTACCCACATCTTGTAAAAAGTAAAGGACCCCTGACCATTAGGTCCAGTCGTGACCGACTCTGGGGTTGCGGTGCTCATCTCGCTTTATTGGCCGAGGGAGCCGGCATACAGCTTCCGGGGTCATGTGGTCAGCACGACTAAGCCGCTTCTGGCAAACCAGAGCAGCACACGGAAATGCCATTTTCCTTCCCGCTGGAGTGGTACCTATTTATCTACTTGCACTCTGACGTGCTTTCGAAACTGCTAGCGTTGGCAGGAGCAGGGACCGAGCAACGGGATCTCACCCCGTTGAGGGGATTCGAACGCTGACCTTCTGATCAGCAAGTTCTAGGCTCTGTGGTTTAACCACAGCGCCACCAGTGTCCCACCCACATCTTACACACCCCTATAAATCTTTTGTACTCAAAGGAAATTCAGATAATTAAGCACACAGCATCCTGGGAAGCTTATGTAAAACTAGGTCTCAGACCATAAGTCTCCTAAGGCTGGTGTTCTTCAACCCCCAACAATTGTTGCAAAGTAGGTATGGCAAAATTTCAGTCTGGGAATCCTCTTCATTACTTCCATTCATCACTTTGGGTCATTTTTCCATTTCCTTTTCTCTGTGCTGAGTCCTCACTCACTTTTATGACTCCAATAAAACTCTCTCCTTTTGCCTTCATTTATTTCTTAAATCAATGGCGATCTACCTGATGTATCTGCTCTGGTACAACGCAACGATTTCTCTGGGAGACTCCATAGAGGCTTATTAATCCACTCCTATCAGTCGTATGGGTGGAGAATCAGCACTATAATCCACTGTCAGCTTGGCTTGGACACATTATGTAGCAATGATGTGTATGCTAAGAGGAGGGTAAACCAGACGTAATATATAGACTCGGTCCAAGCTAGAAACTATGAAGAAAGGCAGAAAGTTCCTGGGATATTTAACCACAATCTAAGCCCATCTATCCCTAGCTAACAAGACCAGATTCCATTCTTCCAAGCCAGAAAACCAAATGGTTTGGGGTGATGGGAGATTGTAGTCTGAAGGGCCACATTAAATGCATAGGGACGCGGGTGGCGCTGTAGGTAAAAGCCTCAGCGCCTAGGACTTGCCGATCGAAAGGTCGGCGGTTCGAATCCCCTGGCGGGGTGCGCTCCCGTTTGCTCGCGTCCCAGCGCCTTGCCAACCTAGCAGTTCGAAAGCACCCCCGGGTGCAAGTAGATAAAATAGGGACGCTTACTAGACGGGAAGGTAAACGCGTTCCGTTGTGCTGCGCTGGCTCACCAGATGCAGCTTGTCACGCTGGCCACGTGACCCGGAAGTGTCTGCGGACAGCGCTGGCTCCCGGCCTCTAGAGTGAGATGGAGCGCACAACCCTAGAGTCTGGCAAGACTGGCCGCAGTACGGGCAGGGGTACCTTTACCTTTACTTTTTTAAGATAAGACAGGCAAAAGTAAACTACCGTATTTTTTGCTCTATAAGACTCACTCTTTCCCTCCTAAAAAGTAAGGGGAAATGTGTGTGCGTCTTATGGAGTGAATACAGGCTGCGCAGCTATCCCAGAAGCCAGAACAGCAAGAGGGATTGCTGCTTTCACTGAGCAGTGATCCCTCTTGCTGTTCTGGCTTCTGAGTTTCAGAATATTTTTTTTCTTGTTTTCCTCCTCCAAAAACTAGGTGCGTCTTGTGGTCTGGTGCGTCTTATAGAGCGAAAAATGTGGTATATAAGATAGCTGAATACATTAGCTGGAGATCACTAGAAGACTTCTAACAATCAAAGGAATAGGAAATTGCTAAGTTATTTATTTCCTCTGCTTTTCTGGCACACTGCCAACATGAATGATCTCAGGATTTTATTGCCTTTGGCATTTATATCTGGCACAGGGATGACCTACTGTTCCTGTAGACCAGAACCAGCCTCCACAGTAATCTTATCCAGTCCCTGCAACTCACTCCAAGCTTGGATCAAGATACACAGTTAAACATCTCTCCACAATTGCCAAGAACTGTCAATCACTGTCTCTGGCTCCATTTACCATTGCCTCTGTTGCCTTCTCCCTGCCAGAGTCAATGGGGACCAGCCACCATGGTGGACCAATTGTCAGAATCAATATAAGACATTTCCTAATAAGCTATTAGAAGCAATTTCAGTTGTCTTTACACAACATCTTTATGTAACTATCATTATGCAATTATTCCACAGACTACTGTGAACGCTACTAGATTATCTACAAAGATTAAACTGTATTCAGAGCATGGGACTTGAAACCACAGTTGGTGGGGGCCAATCCAAGAAAAACAACACCCACCCTATGCTGAATCTTACTTTCATAGGCTTCTTTTTTTCCTTGTTTTCCCCCCCCCCCCCAATATACAGCAAGAAACATCACATTTTATCTCACTACTCACATTTCAGGTGCAGAGAGCTGCAAACTTTGCTTTAAAAAGCCAATCTATAGCATATTTTCTGTAATTCCTTTTTTAAAAAAAACATGTTAACTTTGCAGTTTATACTTTTAGCCAGGGCTTTTTATTTAGCTGGAACTCACCATAACTCAGTTCCAGCACCTCTCAGGTGGGCACCATTGTCTATTATAAGAGAATGAGGGAGACATTCATGGTGTGTTCCGGAACCTCTTTTTCTAGAAAAATAGGACACTGCTTTTAGCTCTCACACTGCAGTATCTTTTAGATTTTGACCACCAAAATAGTAACCATTGCACAAATCTCATGCAACTCTGAGATCAAATTGGAACTAGAGGTTTTCATACACAGGTCACGCATTAAACAGTACCCTATACCAGCTATCAGGCAACAAGCCAGATGTTAGGTTAAAGTGAACAGAATTCTCTGGAGTGATGAGGATCCAAACAATAACAGAGGAAACACAAACAATATAGAACATAAGTACAGTGGTACCTCAGGTTAAGTACTTAATTCGTTCCGGAGGTCCGTTCTTAAACCTGAAACTGTTCTTAACCTGAAGCACCACTTTAGCTAATGGGCCTCATGCTGCTGCCGCGCATCCGGAGCACAATTTCTGTTCTCATCCTGAAGGCAAAGTTTTAACCTGAGGTACTATTCTGGGTTACGGAGTCTGATAATCTGAAGCTATGTAACCTGAAGCGTATGTAACCCGAGTTACCCACGTAATCATGTTTGCTTCAAAAATAACAGAGTACAGTTGCAGCCTGCAGCTCCTGCAGTTCAAACAGCTCTTCTTTATTCAGAGGCCAGAACAGAACTGAGCTGAAGAGCTCAGTCAGCCTGCTTATATAGAGCTCCAGAACAACATAACTGTAGCAACTTTCTAAAACTATCCAATCACTGAACGTCACTTTTGATCCTTCATTTGCATAACTATCTACAGTATCCCCCTGCTGGCCCAGGGTGAGAACTTCAGTACATAACACTAGGGAGTGCCCAAATTTAAAGGTGCTGAATACAAGCCCTGCTTGCAAGGGAAAAATCAAGAGCACACATTCCTTTGCAGCCACATCTTCACCTGTTTCACACCTGATGTCAAATATGACTTCAGGTGTAGGGCAGGTGGGCTTCATAAAATCATAGAGTTGGGAGGGACCTTATGGGAAATCTCAACTAAAGCATCCATGACAAATGGCCTTGACGTTGAAAAACAGTTTTATGGGCCAAACTACGATCCCTACTGGATGTAATTTTGCCCCTGGGCTGGAATTTCCCTATGCCTGATTCAACTGGTCTGTAGGTAAAAAGATAAAGAACCCCTGGAGGGTTAAGTCCAGTCAAAGGGGACTATGGGGTTGTGGCGCTCATCTTGCTTCAGGCCAAGGGAGCCGGTGTTTGTCCACAGACAGGTTTTCAGGTCATGTGGACAGCATGACTAAACCACTTCTGGCACAACGGGACACCGTGATGGAAACCAAAGTGCATGGAAACACTGTTTAACTTCCCACCGCAGCGGTACCTATTTATCTACTTGCACTGGTGTGCTTTCAAATTGCTAGGTTGGCAGGAACTGCGACAGAGCAACGGGAGCTCACTTCATCACGGGGGTTTGAAACTTTTGATCAGCAAGCCCAAGAGGCTCAGTGGTTTAGACCACCCGCATCCCTGCTTTGATCTGTAAAACCCTTTAGGACTTTGGGAGTCATTACAGATCCCACATACTATCCCTGCAAAGCTGTACAATAATTTCCCATATCATTTCATATGCTACACTTAAAAGGGATTTATCAAATATATCACAATTTTGAAAAATTAAACTGGGCTCTTGAAGCTATAAAAGGATTAAAGCCTTTGCACTGAATCAGAAATAAATATGGCTGAGACACACCATGCCCTTTAAGGTAGGCATGTTGTCTGATGGAACACTCAGTATCTTAATTACCTGCACACTTCTTACAAATGACAACACAGAGATTGATGGATGCCCAGTCAGGATCCGGTTCCTTGCAGTCAGCACAGGACCTGTTTGAGTCATTGAACCAGATCTTCTCAGCTACTTCATAGTCCGAGAGAGTTTCTGCAATAGACTGCTGTAGTGCTTCGATCCACTCCTGCTTCTCTTTTTCAGACTCTGCCGTAAAGCTGAAACCCATTGACAAAGGGTCTTCTGATTAAATACAAAATAGATCAAGCCTATTTGTTTTACCAGCTATTAAGAGAAGTTAGCTGCATGAAGATGAGAGCTGAGCATCAAGATAATCAAATTAATGCACATTAAATGAATCTTAAAATAAAAACCCTGCTTTGCTTTCTTACCTCAGTTAGTATTTGCCAACTTATACTCATCACCCTTATATATCATGCTTATGACAATATTTTATTCCCTTGTTAATTATGCTGTTTTAAATGTGCATTTTATATTTGACTTCACTTAGCAATGGTTTTTTAAAAAAATGTTTAAGTTTTTTTTAAACTTTGTGTTAAATATGTATTCTGTAGTTGACCTCCTTTGTAATGTTTTGTTTTGAAATCTTTAGATATTTTTAATTTTCTGTTAATTATGTTGCTTTGACTTTCTTCAGATTGTTTTGTTGATGTTTTGTTGATGTTTTAATATTCTGTAAACCGCTTTGAGATTTTCTTAAAAATAGAAACAGTACAGAAATGAAATAAATAATAATAATATACAAAGGGTGTGCATTGGGTCTGTGAGGAAACCAAATAATGAGGCAAATTGGGGTGATTTGGAGTGCTTTCCCCACTCATGGAATCAAACTGTGATGTCAGGAAAGCCTCCTCAATGCAGATCTGGGTTTCCACAAAGCCTCATATGTTTCTGTGTTGTTTCTGTCCTTCTGTCTTGTATACAGTCATACCTTGAAGTGGTACCTTGAAGTCGAACGGAATCCGTTCTGGAAGTCCGTTCAACTTCCAAAATGTCCAGAAGCCGCGTCAAACATTCAGATTCCAAAGAATGTTTGCAAACCAGAACACTCACTTCTGGGTTGCAGTGTTCAGGAGCCAAAACATTTGACTTGCAAGGCATTCAGGATCCAAGGTATGACTGTACCTCTATCCTCTTCTATATCTGCACTTTGCAAGAAGTGAAGTTGTCTAAAATATTGCCTGTACACTTAGGAGTTCTGGATTTATTTCCTTTTGTCAAACACAGCAGAGGACTTAAACCAAACAAACAAACAAAAAAGTCAAAAGATTCATTTAAGTTTTTCGTTAAAAATAATAATTCCTATCCTGCCATTTCAACAAAAGCAAGCAAAAAGCAAAAAGCAAAACAGAGTTCTGAATTCTACAGGACAGCATCCAGACAGCCTCGTGCTATAAGTCTCATTGGAAGCCTATCAGAGGACACAAAACAAGGACTGGAAAAGATGATATAAAGTATTTTTTAAAGTACAAGCAAGAACAGTATACGCCAAGCAGCCATCTCTTCATTATTTCACAGTAAGAAAGAACAAGAGACCAGTTGCCCTCCCATAAAAGGCAGCAAGCTGGAGAGAGAGTCAGAGCACAACGGTTGATTTCTGTTTGGAGCCTCTTGGCGGGGTCAATGCTGTGAACCACTCTGTGGGTTCAGGTTGTATATATGCGTAAATAAACCATATATGCTAAAGATACTACAGTCTCTTCTGTGCCTCACTCCCGAAAGGAAACACAAACCCTAGGTTACCATGCCTAGAACCTCTAGAACAGGGGTAGGAACCTAAGGCTCGTGGGGCCGGATGCGGCCCAATTGCCTTCTAAATCTGGCCCGCAGACGGTTCGGGAATCAGTGTTTTTTTTTACATGACTAGAATGTGTCCTTTTATTTAAAATGCATCTCTGGGTTATTTGTGGGGCCTGCCTAGTGTTTTTACATACGTAGAATGTGTGCTTTTATTTAAAATGCATCTCTGGGTTATTTGTGGGGCATAGGAATTTTTTCATTATTTTTTTTTCAAAATATAGTCCAGCCCACCACATGGTCTGAGGGACGGTGGACCAGCCCATGGTTGAAAAAGGTTGCTGACCCCGGCTCTAGAATCCCTTACCACTCAGAGATTGGATGGCATGCAACACTATTCTTGCGCTATAGAACAGGGTTCCCATACATCCTGGAATTCCTAGGCATGTCCTCTTTTGGGGCTACTACATGCCCATCTAGGGGGAATTAAACATTTTAAAGCAAACGTCCTGGATTTGGGGTTTAATAAAAATAATTGTGTGCATTGGCAGCTCTGGTTCAGGATTGAACTCTGCCGTGGAGGAACTCTGCCGGGCTCTGGTTGAGGCGACCCGGGTTGTGGCGTGGCGGCTTCAGCTTGGCGGTAGGGGGCTATCAGGAGACTGCCCTAAAAAAGCTCAATGACTTTTTGTGTCCAGGTTTTTACCCTCTTGAAATATGGCAACCCTATGTGACAACAGCTGCACAGATGTTACTAGCCCAGAGATGGAAGGAAGAAACAACGCGGGAGAGGGAAGAATGGCAAACCAAGTTGATGGACCACGCTGAAATGGCAAAATTAACTGGGAAGCTCAGAAACCAAGACGACAAGAACTTTAAAAAAAGAATGGGGGGGAAATTTTAATAGATCTACATGACCATTGTAAACAGATGAAAACATTAGCAGGATTTTAACCACATTTGTAAAGTAACAAAAACTAGGGCTAATTTAGAGGGACAAAATATTTGGATAATGAATTGATATGCAGGTGTAAATATTAGCATTAGGACCCATGGAGGGGGTGGGAGGAAGTTGTGAGATTCAGAGTAATCTCTGTATATGGACTTAAAAATGATTTTGTTATATGTTGTTTATTTTTTAAAATCAAACAAAAATTATTATTTTTTTAAAAAAAAGACATATGGCAACCCTACTACAGAATAATAATAATACTTCATGTAGGTGGTTTCAAAGGTTCTCAATAATAGTTTCCAGGGACTTACCTAAAGCTCTTGTAAGGTGTGATTATTTCAAAAGATTGTTTGGCTGTGCGGTCTACCTGTCTCACATTGGCTACGTTCATGGGGATTATAGTGATGCCATATCCAAGTTTAAAATCCTAGAAATGGGTGTGGAGAGGGAACAGATAATTATGAAACGGCATATAATAGCTTTTAACAACAGTGATTTACAAAGAATGAGGGAAGGCAGTATTTGCCCATTCAGCTCCAGGGGACCTTGCTTGTCTTCCTGGGAAACACCTGTATCAAAGATCAATTCATTGGGAAGACAAGGAGGAAGCTGTTGTGATTCCCTTCAGGACTGGATCCATTGAGCTATAAAACTAGGGTTGCCATACGTCCAGAATTCCGTGGAAATTCATCCTTCGCAAAGAGCCTCCGGTCGGAAATCGCTGGAGTGTCTGGGGAAATCGGGTCGCAGCCCATGTCGGTAGTGTAGATTTTGGTGATTTTTGTTTAAAATAGCTCAGAAACTTTTTTTGCTCAACAACTTTGCCAAAAACAAAGTCAAAAACGTTTGTGTCCAGATTTTCACTTTTTGAAATATGGCAACCCAAATAAAACACCCAGCTCAGATAGTGTGCTGGGCCAACATGGGTGAGCCAATCTCAGTTTGTTGACCCTGAAAGACTACATCAAGTCTCTCCTCTGGAGTCACCATGAGGGTGCCACCTTCTCCTTTGAGCTTAATTTGAGTACCATTTATTTAATATATTCATACACTGTGTAATATTTAAGGCGGCCTGTAGCTGGTTTACAAATAACAGAGGCAATATGTACAATATAACAAGGAATGAAACAGTGAAACTCTAATATATATTGCAATAAAACAATAACCCTCCCCCCCAAAAAAAAAATAATAGCAGCACATTCTGAAACATATTTTGAATCGGGGACTTTTTGCTGTCTTAGTTCTTAAAAAGAAAAAGGGGGGAAAGCTATGGTCTTATGTCGGGAGGTGGGGTAGCCTGATTGATGGTTGGTTTTGCTCAGGCATAGGCAAATTTGGCCCTCCAGATGTTTTGGGACTACAACTCCCATCATCCCTAGCTAACAGGACCAGTGGTCAGGGACGATGGGAATTTTAGTCCCAAAACATCTGGAGGGCTGAGTTTGCCTACGCCTGATTTTGCTATTGCTTCGATGCATTTATTGTACTTTTACTGAATGCTTCATTTCGTATTAGGAAGCATTTTCATTTGTTAATGGCTTGTTATTGACATGAGGTGCTTTGAGTTCAACTTGATTGCTGGGGAAGCTGCATATAAATATTAAATCAACTCAGATGTGTCACAGTTGCCAAGCTATCCTTGTCTAGGTATGACTGCAGCTAGGTACACGCACTGCCAGCCACTGAGGCCACCTGGGCTTCATGTGTCAATGCAGAATTAAAAAGTACCCTCATATTAAACACTTGATCCTCCAAGGAGAGTGTTGCCCCATCTAGAACAGAATGTCTACCCACATCTTGTAAAAGTAAAGGGACCCCTGACCATTAGGTCCAGTCGTGACCGACTCTGGGGTTGCGGTGCTCATCTCGCTTTATTGGCCGAGGGAGCCGGCATACAGCTTCCGGGTCATGTGGTCAGCACGACTAAGCCGCTTCTGGCAAACCAGAGCAGCACACGGAAATGCCATTTTCCTTCCCGCTGGAGTGGTACCTATTTATCTACTTGCACTCTGACGTGCTTTCGAACTGCTAGGTTGGCAGGAGCAGGGACCGAGCAACGGGATCTCACCCCGTTGAGGGGATTCGAACCGCTGACCTTCTGATCAGCAAGTTCTAGGCTCTGTGGTTTAATCCACAGCGCCACCAGTGTCCCACCCACATCTTACACACCCCTATAAATCTTTTGTACTCAAAGGAAATTCAGATAATTAAGCACACAGCATCCTGGGAAGCTTATGTAAACTAGGTCTCAGACCATAAGTCTCCTAAGGCTGGTGTTCTTCAACCCCCAACAATTGTTGCAAAGTAGGTATGCAAAATTTTCAGTCTGGGAATCCTCTTCATTACTTCCATTCATCACTTTGGGTCATTTTTCCATTTCCTTTTCTCTGTTGCTAGTCCTCACTCACTTTTATGACTCCAATAAAACTCTCTCCTTTTGCCTTCATTTATTTCTTAAATCAATGGCGATCTACCTGATGTATCTGCTCTGGTACAACGCAACGATTTCTCTGGAGACTCCATAGAGGCTTATTAATCCACTCCTATCAGTCGTATGGGTGGAGAATCAGCACTATAATCACCTGTCAGCTTGGGCTTGGCAGCACATTATGTAGCAATGATGTGTACGCTAAGAGGAGGGTAAACCAGACGTAATATATAGACTCGGTCAAGCTAGAAACTATGAAGAAAGGCAGAAAGTTCCTGGGATATTTAACCACAATCTAAGCCCATCATCCCTAGCTAACAAGACCAGATTTCCATCTTCCAAGCCAGAAAACCAAATGGTTTGGGGTGATGGGAGATGTAGTCTGAAGGGCCACATTAATGCATAGGGACGCGGGTGGCGCTGTAGGTAAAAGCCTCAGCGCCTAGGACTTGCCGATCGAAAGGTCGGCGGTTCGAATCCCCGTGGCGGGGTGCGCTCCCGTTGCTCGGTCCCAGCGCCTGCCAACCTAGCAGTTCGAAAGCACCCCCGGGTGCAAGTAGATAAATAGGGACCGCTTACTAGCGGGAAGGTAAACGGCGTTCCGTGTGCTGCGCTGGCTCACCAGATGCAGCTTGTCACGCTGGCCACGTGACCCGGAAGTGTCTGCGGACAGCGCTGGCTCCCGGCCTCTAGAGTGAGATGAGCGCACAACCCTAGAGTCTGGCAAGACTGGCCAGTACGGGCAGGGGTACCTTTACCTTTACTTTTTAAGATAAGACAGGCAAAAGTAAACTACCGTATTTTTTGCTCTATAAGACTCACTTTTTCCCTCCTAAAAAGTAAGGGAAAATGTTTGTGCATCTTATGGAGCGAATGCAGGCTGCACAGCTATCCCAGAAGCCAGAACAGCAAGAGGGATTGCTGCTTTTGCTGCGCAGCGATCCCTCTTGCTGTTCTGGCTTCTGAGATTCAGAATATTTTTTTTCTTGTTTTCCTTCTCCAAAAACTAGGTGCATCTTGTGGTCTGGTGCGTCTTATAGAGTGAAAAATGTGGTATATAAGATAGCTGAATACATTAGCTGGAGATCACTAGAAGACTTCTAACAATCAAAGGAATAGGAAATTGCTAAGTTATTTATTTCCTCTGCTTTTCTGGCACACTGCAACATGAATGATCTCAGGATTTTATGCCTTTGCATTTATAATCTGGCACAGGGATGACCTACTGGTTCCGTGTAGACCAGAACCAGCCTCCACAGTAATCTTATCCAGTCCCTGCAACTCACTCCAAGCTTGGATCAAGATACACAGTAAACATCTCTCCACAATTTGCCAAGAACTGTCAATCACTGTCTCTGGCTCCATTTACCATTGGCCTCTTTGCCTTCTGCCCTGCCAGAGTCAATGGGGACCAGCCACCATGGTGGACCAATTGTCAGAATCAATATAAGACATTTCCTAATAAGCTATTAGAAGCAATTTCAGTTGTCTTTAAGCAACATCTTTATATAACTATCATTATGCAATTATTCCACAGACTACTGTGAACGCTACTAGATTATCTACAAGATTAAACTGTATTCAGAGCATGGGACTTGAAACCACAGTTGTGGGGGCCAATCCAAGAAAACAACACCCACCCTATGCTGAGATCTTACTTTCATAGGCTTCTTTTTTTCCTTGTTTCCCCCCCCCCCCAATATACAGCAAGAAAACATCACATTTTATCTCACTACTCACATTTCAGGGTGCAGAGAGCTGCAAACTTTGGCTTTAAAAAGCCAAATCTATAGCATATTTTCTGTAATTCCTTTTTTTAAAAAATACATGTTAACTTTGCAGTTTATACTTTTAGCCAGGGCTTTTTATTTAGCTGGAACTCACCATAACTCAGTTCCAGCACCTCTCAGGTGGGCACCATTGTCATTATAAGAGAATGAGGGAGACATTCATGGTGTGTTCCGGAACCTCTTTTTCTAGAAAAATAGCACTGCTTTTAGCTCTCACACTGCAGTATCTTTTAGATTTTGACCACCAATAGTAACCATTGCACAAATCTCATGCAACTCTGAGATCAAATTGGAACTAGAGGTTTTCCAGTACACAGGTCACGCATTTAAACAGTACCCTATACCAGCTATCAGGCACAAGCCAGATGTTAAGGTTAAAAGTGAACAGAATTCTCTGGAGTGATGAGGATACCAAACAATAACAGAGGAAACACAAACATATAGAACATAGTACAGCGGTACCTCAGGTTAAGTACTTAATTCGTTCCGGAGGTCCGTTCTTAACCTGAAACTGTTCTTAACCTGAAGCACCACTTTAGCTAATGGGGCCTCATGCTGCTGCCGCGCTGCCGGAGCACAATTTCTGTTCTCATCCTGAAGCAAAGTTCTTAACCTGAGGTACTATTTCTGGGTTAGCGGAGTCTGTAATCTGAAGCGTATGTAACCTGAAGCGTATGTAACCCGAGTTACCACTGTAATCATGTTTGCTTCAAAAATAACAGAGTACAGTTGCAGCCTGCAGCTCCTGCAGCCAATCAGAAGCCCTGTCAGACGTTTGGCATCCAAAAGAACATTCAAAAGCCGGAACACTCACTTCTGGGTTTTGATCGGGAGCCGATTTGTTTGGGAGCCAAGGCATTTGAGATCCAAGGTACAACTGTATTTCAAGAAGTTTGTTTCAAGGAAGACGGAAGACAGTACGTTAAGAGGCACACTTGACACTCCACAGATCAAGTACACAGTACGCAAATCAGTTGTCTTGCAAACATCCCAAATAATCTCACATAAGCAACATAAGCAGAAGAGGATAACAGCCAAACTAGATAGCACACAGCAAGAAGGGCAACATACCGACGCAATCGAACAATCCCCATTTGCACAACAAGAGTGCAATTCCCTCTCAGCTGGGCTTCTCTAGTACAGGAGCTGAACACCATAATAATTAAATGGAGCTTATTCAGAATTTCACACCTTGGTGACTAATGGACT